AAAAAAAATACCCGATATTGAATGGACGCACAATATCCAGGAAAATCGTAGATCCATATTCTTAAAGCCAGTCAATCAACAGGAAATATTAGAATTAGCGCACAGAATTAAGAACAAACATAGTAGTGGTGACGATGAATTGCCCACAAGTCTTATGCGTCAGATCATTCCGGCTCTAACCCAGGTAATTTGCTTTGTCATAAATAACTCAATGAGAGAAGGAGTGTTTCCTGAATCTCTAAAGTTGTCTGCAATCAGACCATGTTATAAGAATAAAGGCGATTCTAACATGTTAGATAACTACAGACCCATCAGCCTACCGGCTTTCTCAAAGTTATTTGAAGTTGTCATGTCCAAACGGATAATGAATTTTATGATGGACTCTGATATTCTTTCGCGAAACCAACATGGATACATGAAGGGACGATCCACTCAAACGGCGATCTTTCAGTTCACACAAGTAATTTTGAGACATCTGGAGGCCGGCGACATGGCTCTAGGAATATTCTTGGATCTTTCAAAGGAATTTGACTGTCTGAATCGAAATTTACTGCTGAAAAAACTAGAAATTTATGGGATCAGGGGGCGCGCTCTTGAGTGGTTTCGCTGATATTTAAATAAGAGAACCCAAATGGTGATTATACGCCAGGACGGTATGTCCTACAAATCAAAAATTTCGCAAAGCACAGTAGGTGTACCACAGGGGAGTATGCTCTGACCTATTTTGTTTATAGTCTTTATGAATGACATTAACAGCGAATGTCTTACCCCAAATTTTCTGCTAACGGAGTATGCAGATGATACAAACCTGCTAGTAGGAGGAAAAACAATCCCTAAACTCGTGGGAAATGCCACTACTTTGTTTACATCGGCAGAAAGATGGTTTGAAAAAAATGTGTTATTCTTAAATAAAGAAAAAACAAACACATTGCTGTTTAGAACCAAATTAAATAAAAATCAGAAACCAGACACCATTGTTGTTGAAGGGCTACAAAGTTTTTGGGGATTTATGTTGATGAATTTTTAGACTGGTCTTGCCATATTGATTACCTTAGTGAGGAACTAAGTAAAATCTGTTTTTGTATCCGAAATGTTTCAAGATACCTGAAGGAAACGGCACGCAAGGCCCTGTATTTTCGCAAATTTTGATGGAACACTTAGGCAGGGAATAATTTTTTGGGCGAGTAGCTCGAGGACTCGAAATATATTTACAGTACAGAAACGTATACTAAGGACTATCTACGGAATGTCTCCTTTACAGTCTTGTCAAGGGGTTTTTAAATCAAAGGGTGTTTTAACCGTGTACGGTCTGTACATTTTTGAGGCATTATTATGTGTTTTTAAGAGTATATATTTACACGATAACAACGTTAACCAGGATCATAGCATCCGCACGGGAAACATTTTGTATCCAACACACAGACTAACACTGTCTGAAAAGAGTTCGTACTATATGGGTATAAAATTCTTTAATAAACTAGAACACAACATTTAAAAAATTTAAGAATAAATTAAAACAGAAAAAGAGCCTTATAGTATTAGAGACTATTTAAATATGTAACAACAGTACCTTTTAGTATAATATGTCCTTTGTCAATTGGTTTTTAACGCCATTTCATTTTGTATGCTTTGTACATGTGCATGTATCAGAATGTAATTTGAAATAAAGAAATAAATAAAAAAATATATCGATACCAATTTATATCTATTGTTGATGATCATTACAAAGGGGATTTTGGTAAATTTATTAGTGAAACTCTAGAATACGAGTATGTTAACTTCGGCCCATATATAAGGTATCCGATAAGTAATGATGAACATTTTTATGATTTTGATTCCTGGGATAAACATAAGATGTTAGTACAACTTTCTCCTGGAGAAAAGTCCACGGGAATACAAATATAAGGGGGCAAAGTGAGTTTTTTCGAATAACAACTTGGAAATTTTGACTAAAATTAGAAATTCAGGGCTTTTTTAGGGTAGCAAATTTAATTAGCAATTCAGCTTTAAGC